CGAAAAAAAAATAAAAAACTTTAATTATAAATTAATATAATTGCTGGTTGATTATACAAATTACTAAATATCTATTAAATATAGAATATTGTTAAACAATTTCAACAATATATATATGGTCATTCAATTCAATTTTCATAATTTTATATTAGTGTTTTAAATTTTTTTAATTGATGTTTTATATTATTGTTTGAATAAAGAAATTAGTATATATGTAAACGAAACATGTTATGCAATCTAACGGTTATTAAAGTGCAATTAGTCCAACACTATGGTGCACGGTACCGGTCTGTATTGTGCATATTGTATCAAACGAACCCTTGTCCCAAGTTAAATTGAAAATGGACATATTTAATTAGTTTATTCGGTTCGGTTAACCGAATTATCCTAAGGAATATATGTTAATAAGTTTATTTATTATTTTTATTTGTGGTTGAAGAAATTCGAGTTCGGCCGGTACCGATCTTTATTGTGCAATATGATAATCACGATAAAATGCAATGTGTTATTTTATAAAGTGCAACATTTTGATTTATAAGGTGCAGTACGGATTGTTTATAAGTACAAAAGGTAATAAAATTATTAGTTGAAACGAAATATAAATTTTTGAACCGAAAAAATTAGTTGGTTGATTTCTAATATTGTACAATCATATAGTTATAAATGTGCAATTAATATAATTATAATGTGCTTTTGCAATATACATGTAAATATATAAATAATAATAATAATAATAATAATAATATTTTTTATATAACTCGGCTACTTCAATTTTGATCGAAATAATCAAAATATATAAATTTTAAAATCATCGAAAGAACTTTATTTCAGGTGAAATTATCGAAGTCAAAATATCTTAAATTTTAAAAGTAATTGAAATATACAAGAACATAGAGAAAATTATAGTTATTTCAGTTTGAACGATAATGTGCGGTCTGACACACGTTAACGTGCAATATGTCTAACACTAACGTGCACTGTTCCAGTCGCTAGTGTGCGGCCTGTCAAACATTTATTATTAGTTTTATATTATTTTATTATTTTTATTTTGATTTATTATTTAAAATGTATGCATATAAAAAATATATAAAAAAATAATATTTTTTTATTCATTTTATATAATTTCAGATTTAGGCGAGGTGTAAAATTGAAATATAATCAATTTTTTTAAAATTGCCAATAAGCCCTCACACATTGTCAAATTTTCAAAACAAAGACCCAATCCCTAAATTGATTTTCATTCTTTTTTCCGACGAGTTGGCACTCCCGAAGGTTTTTCCTGCTAGTCGGCCTTACACATTAATATCATTGTGTGTGTGTGTGTGTGTGTTTACCGGCGGGAGTGTCAACCGCCATTCGAAAGTGATTTTCCGATCAAAGCTTCAGTTTTTTAAGGACATCAGCGTCGTGCTCCAAGCGTACGGCAGAGTGTGCAGCGGCTGTGAGTGTTAGTGGCGAGCTGCTCCGAAGGTTGCGGCGGCTCTGTGCGGGGTGATCGGCAGTACGAGTGGACAGTGGTGTTGAGTTTTCCGATCGAAGCTTCAGATTTTCAGGACGTCGGTGTCGGGATCTGAACGTATGTTCGTATGCGGCGGCTGCGATCACCTGCGGAGCGGCGCTGTAGGGCGGCTAGCCGGAGGAAGATGAAGATGTGGCCGGGAATATAGTGGCGGACGATTTTCCAGCGTGCATCGGCGACATAGGACTTGACGGCGACGGTACGACGGCGGCGTCACGATGGCGACTGCGCCGCTCGAGGAGGCGGACGGAACTGTGTGTGTGTTGCATAAGTGTGTGACTATGTTTGATTGTAAGAGAGAGTGACGGGGAGAGAGACTTCTAAAAAGAGAGAGAGAGAGAGAGAGAGATTGAGGTGGTTGGGGTGTGTGATAATCGGGTTAGGTGGGCAGATGTAGTAACGTGGGGGGTGGGACCACTGATTGATTATAGTGCGTAATTACATTAATGCTCTTAATGAAGGTATATGTTGGTATTTTTATAAGCCGTTGGATCATGTGATCTAATAGTTTTGATGTATTCTTATTTCTCTCATTGAAAATCATTCTCACTGGAGCGTGACCCTATATATATATATATATATATATAGAGAGAGAGAGAGAGAGAGAAGGGATCATATGAGAATGGTAGATAGTGAAAGAAATAAGAATGATTCTGAACCAATGGATCAAACATATCAATGGTCATGATTAAATCAAATCTATTAAATAATGATAAATCTGTCAATGGCAACTCCGTAAATAAGTAGGCATCCTGTAGTCAAATGTCTAAATTACCCACTTAGTAAGGACATTCTAGACATTACACATTCATCCACTATCCATGTGGGCCCCACCAATCATAATACAACTCACCCCTCTTTCTCCCTCACATGCACAAACACACACTCTGAACAACTCACAATTCTCTCTCTCACCGCAGGGATACTCCACACACACAGTCGCACATTGCCGGTGACCACCTTCCTCCCGCCGGCGGTGTCGCCGGCCACCACCTTACTTCAGCCCGCGTCATCGCTGTCTTCAGCCAGTTGATGTCGACGGCCACCGGACGCAGCTTGCAGGCAACCAAATCCAAAATTGACCACCACAAATTCTGCGGCCACCGATCCGGCGACGGCCAAATCGGCCAATCAGCCGGCGGTTCTCTCCAGAAATCTCTCTTCCGACGTTAATGGCACTCGATTCAACGGCCAATCGGGGCCCGTGACCACCGACCAAAGGTAGAGGCTGACGGAACCGAAGCTACGCGGCGGCGGTGCGACTCAGTGATGGACCGTGACGAAGATACGAGCTTGCGGACGGAGATGAGGCGTCGAGCCGGCTGACAGACGAGGCGGCGAGCAGGCGGACGGAGGCTGTGCAGTGCGGTGGTTGAAGAAGACGAGGAGTTTGCGTCGGCTGACAGTGACGATACTATGATTCGGCTGACTCCGGCGACGCGGCGCGACGGTGGTAGCGGTCCGACGGCGGCGGTGTGTTGAATGAGAGGGACGACTTGGAAAAAATATGTCCTATTATTTCTCATATTTTTGAAATGGATTTTGGGTTTTTTTTTTTTTGTAAATTAGATAAATTATAGGGATCAATTTGCAGTTTAAAAAAAACTTTAATTATGAATCATTATAATTGCTGATGATAAGTGAACTTTCGCCCTTAGATGCGGTTGATTCATGAATGAAGACAACGCTACCGACAGGTTAGTTATATAATTTACTAAAAATCTATTAAATACAGGATGCAGATGAATAATTTTAACAATATTTGTATGGTAATTCAATTTAAATTTTCATAAATTTTAGTATTAGTATTTTATATTTTTTTAATGATATTTTGTATTATTGTTTGATTAAAAAAATAGTATATATGTAGATGAAATATATTGTGCAATATAACAGCTTTAAGGTGCAATTCGTCCAACATTATAGTGCACGGTATTGGTCTGTATAGTGCAGATTGAACCATTCAGACTTTTGTCCCGACATCAAATCGAAATAATTTTTTTATTTATATAAAAATTATATTTAATATGTTAATAATTTTATATATTATTTCACGTTGAAAATTTTCGAGTTCGGCCGATTTCGATTCTTATTGTGCAATTTGATAGCATTTTAAAGTGCAACGTGTTGTTTTGTAAAGTGCAACATATTGGTGTATACAGTGAACTATTGTAATTTTGTTACGTTGACATGCTCGTGTTTTGTGTGGATAAATAGTTTGATTGATGTTAAAATATTATGCATATCCGTTTTTAGATTTGGTAACGCAAAACACTCCAACCGGCTCGGAATCGGTTCGCCTCCTTCTTCCTCGCCGATAGAACGCCGCGCTCCTGCACAAAAACTCTCACACCGGAGGGGTTTTCCGGTGAAGAGCCTCCGATGCTTAAGTCAGTATATGTTTGTTCAATTTTCCAAAGTAAGTAATGGATAAATCGTAAACCCTACAAAAGACCCACTCCCCATATATATAGGAGTGAGATACCTGCCCTAAGAGCTGCCCGGCTATTTGGTGAGCTGTCCTGCCCGCACTGCCCGTCCGTACATACACAGTACGCGTATTGTCAGAAAAGTCAGGGACGTCAGAGGTGGTTACCGCCACTTTTACTCTGCACCACTGGGTTCTCGCCACGTGTCCCCTTTTACGCTGAGGGGAAATATTCCTTTACATAGGCCGTTGGGATTCCTGAATATCACCCACGCGCCTACTCGCGTTCAGGTCACGCTCTCGACTGTCTCCTTCCCACTACGCGCTCGACATGGTCGAGCTCCCCTTCGCTAGGTCGATCCTCGACCAGCCCTGCCATTCTGCTCGATCTTTTCTGCTCTGGTCGATCATCCTTTAGCCCACGCGGTTTTCTTCCTACTCATGCTGGTTTGACCGTCGTGATAAGCCGGTCTGTCCTTTAGTCATATGATATCCCATATCATCTAGTCCCCCCCCACTCTGGTCGAGTCTGAATGACTCGATCTAAGAGTGAGTCCGAGCTATCTTCTTCGTTTCACGTATTTTTCCGATTGTTTTTTGTCGATGTCGCCTTCTTGTCTCCTCTCTCGATCGTTCTATTTGATGTTGCTACCCTTCTTCGACCGCGTGGTTCCCTTTATTGCCTGCAATGATCGCTTTTATTTCTCTTTATTTTTAGCGCGATTTCCGCCTGCCACATGTCCTCCTTCTCTGTACCCTTAATCATCACGTCTTCGCGTACTTTGTGCCGCTCCGATATCTGCGCCCCTTTGATTGTTTCGGCCGTTGGATCTCCTTTTATCTAACGGTCCTATTCTCCCAACTTTTCATCTTATTCAACTGTTCTCCTATAAATACGACGCTTAGTCATTTTTGCGACTTTTCTCACCCTCGCGATTTTGAACCTCCTTTGCGCTCCATACTTTCCTTCTGCACATTGCTCTGGCCTGCTCTCAACACCTGTTCAAGTACTTTCCGGCAACCACTCTTTCACCGCGACCATGAGTAAGTCTTCTGTGCTCCAATTTTATATTTATGCGTGTTTACTTTCTCAATTTTTTTTTTTGTTGCTTCTCCTTTTTTCCCCAATTCTTCTCACCTCACTTGCGGCCGATAAAACCTACCTCTCTTGCTTTTCGAAACCCTAATTCCTCTCCTCTTTCCCTCAATTTTTGCTCT